GGGGAACCGTCAAAATAATCAAACTGATATTACATTAAAAATAGTTCAAAGCAAATATTACTTATTACACATTCATCTGATCTTATGGCTGTTTGAGAAAAAAATATTATTATTATTATTATTATTATTACTATACTTATAGATTATAAGTGGTCTTTGATGGCTTAAAGTAAATTAGCATAAGAAAGATGGCAAGATATGAGACTTATAATACATTATAAATATGAGAAATATAATCCATTGTAACTTAAGTGGATGCAACATGTTCAATGTGTTATAAATCATCATACACTCTTAAAAATAAAGGTGATTCAAAAGGTTCTTCAAGCGATGCCATAGAAGAACCATTTTGGGTTCCACAAAGAACCATTCAGTCAAAGGTTCTTTAAAGAACCATCTCTTTCTTACCTTTTTGTAATTTGAAGAACCTTATTTCGCCACAAAGAACCTTTTGTGAAACAGAAAGGTTCTTCAGATGTTAAAGGTTCTTTATGGAACCATTTAGACAAAAAGGTTCTTCTATGGCATCGTGAAGAACCTTTATTTTTAAGAGTGTACTCTTAAAAGCTATAACCACAAATAAGTAAATATTATAAAACATTAAAACTGTTCTTATGAATATTCATAAGATGATATAACATATTATAAGGGTTTTTATAATGCATTATGCATTCATTATAATGCCTTAAGAATACCCTTATAATGTATTATAAATATGGGCTTCATAGAAAGTGTTACCAAAAATTGTTTTCCGAGTTTCTAAATTGGTTTGATTTTCATTTGCAGGAAGGAGAAGCCTTATAGGCCATTACCCCTTTACACTTTGCTGCTCCACAGGGTTGTTGGAAACAATATGTAGGAAATTGACCATAACAAGTAGTAAACGCACGCTGGAGGGAAGGAGGAGCAAAACACCATGGCAACTCCTAGAAAAAGAGAGGGAAAAAAGTTGAAAGTAGTTATTCAGTAAATAATTGTAAATATTTCACTGTACATGCTAATTTCCCTATTTTTACATTTAACACACGCTTAATCTTTAAAAGCACCAATACCTCACACTACTAAAATGCAATCTTTAGCAAATCTGAAAATGAATATCTGTTTTTCATGCTGTACTTTATAGTGTTGTGTCTGGCTTTACCTCCGATGTAGACCACCTTCTTCCAGGCCTGAGACTCCAGTACTCTGTCATGTGGGTAGAAGTTCTGACTGACCATGAAGAGAATCATGGCCACTGCTAGGATTCTCAGTACTGCCATATTTCCTCCAGTCAGCAGAGAAACACACACCAGGATGGCAGAGGAGTAGATGCATGGTAGGCCACGGTACATGAATGGGATTCCTGCAGAAAACAGCAGACACACTTCTAACTATATATATATATATATACACACGTGTATGTATATGTGTGTTGAAAACAATTTTGGTGTAAGTTCCTCACCACTAGAGAAGAAGCAGAGACGAGTATAGACAGACAGCACATACAACATGCACAGGATGTTATCCAAAAGACTGGGTGTCCTTAAAATGAGAGATGTTGCTATTCCAAATGTTGTGAAATCGGCAAAATCATCCAACTTTGCACCTGCAGTACAAAAAAAGTACACTGCAATACACTGTTGACACTGACACTGTCTTAAAAACAACATTCATGGCGCAAGACACTGGAAAAAAACAGCAAGACTTAAAGCAGCTGCCAAGGATGCCAGCTAGAAACGGAGACTCAGTGGTAGAGCATTGCGTTGGCAGCACAAAAGGTCAAAAAAAGGTTGTGGGTTCGATTCCCAGGGAACACACATACTGGTAAAAAATGTATAGCCTGAATGCACTGTAAGTCGCTTTGGATAAAAGCGTCTGCTAAATGCATAAATTATTATTAATTATAAATTATTATATATTCCACTGTCCTGTTTACTGACTCTTATTTGGAAGTGTTCCTGTGCTCTGTCTTCCTGCCTCCATAGTCACCCTCATTTGTTTTATGGTAATTAATTAGCCTCACCTGTTCCTCATTAGCCCCGTGTATTTATACCAGAGATTATCATACTATTGGGAGATGAGAGGGTCTGTATTACTTGCTATTGGAGAAAGCGTAACGGCTTACTTGGATCATGTGCAGCTTAATAACCGATCACAAAACAATGAGTTGTGACACTCAATCACTGTTTATGGATAGCATAGGAATGAATGAGAAGTGCTGTAAGCTGAATCCCACCTGTTGCAAAAAGTCAGTGACTTCTCTAATAAAATCGCATTTTTTTCAGTGTAAACTCTAAAATGGGTTCAATCCAAAAGTATTGCTTAGTGTAAAACATGTTGAAGATTAGCCGATAGGCTGTCGATTCATTAAATGATGAACTGTTTCCTCTAAAAAGCTGTTTATTCAGTGTAGTGAAGCCTTTCCTCCATTAGTCTCATGTAGCCCAAGAGGCCATATGACTGACAGGCAAAGCAACCAATCACGTTTCGTTTTGTGCCGCGTCATGTTTAGGGGCATGGAAATGTCGCCACAATAACAGACCGGTGTGTAAAACTCTCTGACATATTTTAAAGATTCTATGCAGTGTACTTTAAATCTCACAACGGCTTTCATCTTTCGTGAGGGGGTTTGGCACCACGGCATTTTTGTTTCCAGGCGGAACACTAAAAAACGCGACACACACGTCACCCAGTAATCCTGTATAATCTAACCAATCCGATGATGACTTCGAAACTCCTGAAGTGTTTCCAGCTAAGTGCCGTATGCATCAGACGTTCAGCCAGCGATCCGTGGGCATGATGTTTGAGGCATAGACTATTCCTC